GAGTGACTGCTATACAGCAGAAATGTAAAAGGAGGGGGAGGTCACAGGCTCATGGCAATCTTGCCCTTCCAGCCACTCCCAAGGGAAGGAAGACAGAAATCTTGAAATCTCAGAATATCTTTAACACATTAGATAAGTCTATTACTGCTCTAAACCCTTCTTGCATTATTTAAGTATAGAATGCATTTTTAAAAAATTTTATACTTATATTTATACTTATACATATATTTTAGTTGTCGATGGGTCTTTTTTATTTTTATTTATTTATTTATTGTGCTAAGAATCGAACCCAGTGCCTCAAATATGTCAGGCAAGCACCACTGAACCACAATTCTAGACCTCATTTTAAAAAATTCTGAACTGGTTAATGACCCTATTTTTTAATCCCCAAGATTTTTTAATGTGTTTTTTTAAATCTCTATTACATACAGTGAGCTGTCACTTAAAAAAAAAAAAAAAAAGGAATTTAGCCTCTTTCAACAATGAAAAAGTTTAGAATACCAATAGAACTCCAAATACCAATTTTCTTCCATGATTCTTGATACCACAACATTACTATGCATGCAGTCACATGCAACTCACAAGTGGGGAAGGAGCACTAGTACTCTTTGTCCAGACTCAGAACAGTAATAATCTTATTGAAAGCCTTAACATGAAGCAGTATTACTCTCCACAAGACCGGCTTGGTTGGTTGGTTGGCTGCTTTTGTGGTCCTAGGGACTGAATCCAGGTCCTCCAGCACACTAGGCAAACATTGTACTTGTGAACCTCACACCCAGCCCTTTTTATTTTGAGACAGGGTCTCACTAAATTGCCCAGGCTGCCCTCAAACTCAGGATCCTCCTGCCTCAGCCTTCCAAGTAGCTGGGATTACAGGTGTGTGCCACTAGGCCTGGCCATGAAACTATTTCAGCTTCTAAAAATGTGAAAAAATATTATAAACTAATTTAGTCACTTAGCAAAACTGGGCACCTCTTACAGGCCAGATACTGTCTGGCAATGAATATGAATGAGATACTTAATGCTCACTATTTTACAAACCTTAACAGCCAAGAGCATTAATGTCAATATGAGCATCAAAAACTAAAAGTATGAGGCCAAACTGAAGCCTGTCCTGTCTTATTTCTAGTAACAGACATATTGACATCCTTAGACAAGGTTTTGAGGCATCTTTTGAGTCATTTATAGTGGTATCGCTGAGTGTTAATTCATCGGCAACTTTAGATAAATATGAAAGCCATTTTGGACTCAGAATTTATTTTAACACAGGCTTTCTTACATGACTAAAAACTTCAATTTCATTAGCTACATCTCAAAAGCAAAGCTTCTCTCTCAGTATTCAGTTATTAATGGGGTAAACACCACCATATAAGCAGGTCTACTTTTTAGACAATACACATTCCCAAAGCCCAGCTGAAAATCACTATTGGGAAAATCTTGACTGCCTGTATGGTCCAGAAAAGAGTTCATTCTTGAATAGATTTTTATTTGACATCCATTAAAAGCATAAATAAGGCAAGTGACATTTAAGAGACACTACCTGAAAGACCAATGAGTTAAATCACTAGATTCATGTACACCTGTCTTATTCAGGCTTTTCCATCATGCCTAAGACTTTTATCCAGTTTACAATGGCATGTGAAAAATTTTTCTCTATCATCCATAAAATGTGAAACATTTTTCCATAGCCAAACAATTATATGAGAGAAAGGCCCACTTCTCCTGCCTAATTGGTATACTTTCTCTTTCTAAACAATGCCAATTATAATTAGTCCTAGTTCCTCTTTCACTTTGGCAAATTAAAATTAAAAAGACAACTTTAGTTATCTTTCACCTAATTCTCTCCCTCCACACTAATCCCCATGGCTCTTTACCAATATTTTCATAACTCTCTACAACAGCTATTATTGTAAAAATATATTAAATTTTTTTCTCAAAGTAGACAGATTATAAATTGTTAAATAAATAGCTGTCTCTCCACAAATGTTCTAATACATGAGTCTCCTTAGAAAAAAATTAGCTAAGAACTTAAAATCAACTTTTAACATGTAAAGGATTTAGTAAAAATCAAAGTCTCAGAAAATAAATTCTACAAAGTCCAAGCTCCATAGGCTAAGAAGGTAGAACACCAAGGAAATAACACCGAGAAGACTGCAGTTTCTACTGCACATGTGTTGCTTTCACACCACCTTAAAGCTGAAAAACTATAAGTGAAACCAGCATAAGCTGGGGATCATCTGTGCATCCACGAAACACCATCCAGTCCTAAAAGAGAGGTGCGCCTGGCAGTCACCATGAGGAATGAACCCTGAAGGCACCATGCTAAGTGAAACCAGCCAGACACAAAGGACAGCTACCGCAGGAGTCCACTTCTATGAGGTTCGTAGGGTGGGCAGATTCAGAGAAGGAGAGTTGAAAGGTGGCGTAGAGGAGGGCAGCATGTGGGGTTAGTGTTTAAATGGCTACAGAATTTAAGATGGGGAAGATGAATGGTGGAAAGAATTGCAAAACAATGTGAATGCACTGAATGCAGCTGAACTGTCCACTCAAAAAGGCTGCAACTGTAAATGTGATGTGTATTTTACCACATTAAAAGGAAAAAAGAAACAATCTGAAATATTCAGACAAGCAGAGGTCATCTGAACATTCAAGGTTAGACAGAGCTTCATTCACTCCACAGGATTTACTACCTAGTGTGCAGATTTTCTCCCCTAAAACCCAGCTGGTACAATATATTGCAAAGGAAACGTGAAACATCTCTGAAATCAAAAACAGTGATTCAGTCCTGGCTGTGCCTCAGCTAGATTAACAACTCACAACAACAATCAGTAAGCATTAGTTTTCCTACCTATAAAATAAGGATAATATTGAGTTTGTATTAGGATTACAGCAAAAATTAAATGAGAATATATGCAAAGAACTGGACACATCTTGGCCTATAATGAGGAGGTACTTAATAAATGTTTCCCATAACTCTGCCACAAATTAGCATGTTAAAGTCACAAGAGAATGAATGTCTATGAAATATCTGTTTTCTCAAATGAAACAAACATCTTACGTGTTGGTCAGTGGCAAGAATTAAACACCTCAATGCTCTGAAAGTTATTTTCCCTAGAAATCAGTACTGCATGTATTCCTGATTATATAACATCACAAAATCACTATCAAATAAGAATCATGAGTCACACCAAAATGTCTCTTAAAACTAAGCCAAAAAAGCTCAACAACAGCAAAGCAACCTAGCTATACAACTCATACACAGCCACAGGCATAATACTCAGAACCAAAACTTTAATGATGAGATGGTGGCATAGACAGTAAAGAATATCCTTATTATACCAACTGCAAGAAGAGGCCTTTATCCTGAAATGAAAATTGAGTAATTCATCTTTTCTTAAATCAGCATGTGTGCCATGAGTAAATCAAAGCCACAGCTATGCCACATTATCAATGTTTATAATAAATAAAAAGCAATCTTTAGTGTTTTTATCTATGTACACGATTTATAAAATAAGTTCTAAAATAGGCTTTGAAATAATTATATGTGTATGTGTATGTGTATTGCATGTATTACATATAACATACACATGCCACAGGTGGCTTCAAAAAAGACGCTTTACAAAATATACTAATGATTCCAGAATCCAGTTCCCAAAGATATTAATATCAAGTTATGATTTGCTAAAGGGCTTATCCAGAATTCATGTTTTCATAAATTATTTGAGCTCTTAGCCTCGATAGATATTTGATATTTATACTAATAAATTTTTAACCCGGATGTTCTTTTGCAGGGGAGGGGTGTAGAAGGGATTGAACTCAGGGGCACTCAACCACTGAGCCACATCCCCAGACCTATTCTGCATTTTATTCAGAGACAGGATCTCACTGAAGCGCCTCTCTATTGCTGAGGCTGACTTTGAACTTGAGATCCTCCTGACTCGGCCTCCTGAGCCCCTGGGATTACAGGCGTGCACCACCGCACCTGGCTAGGTAAACTTTTCTTAAAGAACATCTTTAAAACACATTTCCCAAGTTGATTAACTCCTAATTTGAGGCCTGCACTGCTGAGTATGCTGCACTTGAAAACAACCTCCGGCAAGATAACTGACAATCGGGATGGTAAAGATTTAGAAAACTGAGAGAGAAGCACAGATTCCGAAGTCATACCTCCTGCTCAGCAGACGTCTTCAAACCTGATCTTCAGACCTAACACGCACCATGTGCACCGGGAACTTATCCCTTCAACCACAACTTTCCTCACAAAAGCAATCGGTGACCACTGCAGAGCAAGGCCTCCAGCTCATGGGTTTTCGCAAGTCTTCAGGGGACTGCCTCTGACCTGCAGCAGGGCCACCTGGGCAGCTCGGCTTTCCTAGACAACCCACACAACCCTGACAGCTAACCTGAAACACACAGATTTCCCCCGAAATTGAAAACCCTGAAGCTCCTTCGCAGATCCAGGCATCCTGGCACAAAACACATCCAAGGGGAGGGGCAAAAGATGGCCTCGGCCACCGGCCACCCGCCCCCTGGGGCCAGACCAGGTCCCTGGGCAGTAAACACACACGGCCCTCCTCTGGAGAACAGGCTCGCGCTCTCCCGACGGTACCACGCCCCGGCCTTGCCCACCCCCCGCCCGCCCTCTGAAGGCGTCCCCCGGGCCGGCCGGGGTCCCAGCAGGCCCGGCCGCCGCGCCCGCGTGGACCCCTCGGGCCAGCTCGCCGCCTCGGGGTGCGGGACGCGACCTGTCAAAAGCCCGGGGCGGGGGCGCGCGGGAGGCGCGGGCGGCCGCACCCCGCGGCTGACGCGGCAGCAGGGACCGGGTGGGCGCGCGCGGGCAGGGCCGGCCGGGAGCGGGGAGGCTGCGGCCAGCAGGCCGCCATCTGCCGGCGCGGCCCAGGCCCTGGGCGCCCACGCGGGCCTCGCGCGGAGGCGGGACGCGGCCGGGCGGAGCCGCCCCCGCCCCGGACACAAAGCGGCCCCGCGGGAGCCCGCCTCACCTGCAGCACGGGGCGCCGCGGGCCTTCCAGAACCATCGGACCCCGCTCCGGCGCGCGCGTCACAGCCCAGGCCTCCCGGTGCCGCCCGGCGCCGCCGCCGCCGCCGCCATTTCCTGCCGCTCGCCGTCGCCTCGTCGCCGCTGTCAGGTTACTCCATTCACCTGGGCCTGGAGCAGCTTGCGCCGCGCCGCGCCGCGCCTCGACCCCTCCCGCCGGCGCCTGCGGAGACTGCGCAGCGCCCGGCTCGCCCGCAGCCCGCGCACGGCCCGCGGCAACGGCGCACAGCCGCTTGCAGAATCCCACCCGCGCCGCGCCGCCGCTCCGCGCCCCCACGCTCCGCTCGCCCCGCGGCGGCATGAGAGCGAGCCTGTGATTGGGCAGAGCGCGGCGGTGAAAGGTTAATCCCGGCCCCCCAGCCACTCAGGAGCTGGGACACAGCGGGCGCGGGCCGGGAGGCCGAGGCGGTCTTGGCGGCTCAGCGCTGGGACTCGAGCGGCGTCGCGCAGACCGCGGCCCGGCGTCCTGGCTGCTCTCCCGCGGCCGGATGCCGGCTTGGCCCGATGGACTCGCCAGTCTCCACGTCGGCACCGTCTGGCGCCCACCGCCCTTCGGCGCGGCCCTTCCCCGCGGTCGTAATTGTTCTCCGCCGAGCCGGCGCCCTGGCTGCCCCTCCGGGTTCCCAAGGACCTTCCCAGTCGCCCGCCCCCCGCGTTACTGGTGCGGGGGCCTCCGCCCTGGGAAAGTCACTCTCCCAGAACCGGGGTAGCCGGATCGAGAGAAGTAGGCGGTGGCCCCAGTTACGCACACCGCCCGTTTGCAGGGGTTGGACCCGCGGCACACTGGTGGGTTAAGGATCGGTGGACCTGCGGGAAGTGGCTGAAACAAAACCGGCTTAGTGTATCCCGAAGTGTAGGCCTCTCTTCCCGAAGACCCCGGTAGACGGCTGGGCCCAGGTGAGGTATGGTAGCAGCAGGTGGGCTTGCTCACGCACTTGGTGGCACCGGCGGCACCTGGCGGGGGCCGCACAGGTCAGGGCCCTGCGCCCCTCCGTGCCCCGTGTAGCCGCTGAGCCCTTCAGACAGCGTGAAGGTCTGTGTTCTTTACCGGAAAGGAGTGTAAATAAAACATCTAATAATTTTGTGTTGTGACACATTGGAACGGTACTATTTTTGATATATTGGGATAAATCTAGTTTTATTTGTTTTAATATTCTGATGTGAGTACTATTCAAAATTTTGGTATTACCTGCTGGAATTACGTTGTTATTGGAGAGATTGGTCTGGGTTTACACGCCTGGACCTTGGTGGGTGCTGGAATTGCTCCCCATTTAAACACGTTAAGAAACAGAATAACTTCCAACGTGTCCCAGCTAATAAGTGGGCTTTGGAGCTGATGGGCTTGATCTCTACTGTGCTGAAATTTTGATCATGTATTTATCATAAATTGGCTTGAAGGTTCACTGAACATGGAATCATCATGGACAAAATTAAGAAGTAATGGGAATGCTTTTGACAGATCTGCATATTCAAAAAAATGATATTTCTTATATGCCAAGCACTTTGGGAATAGATTTCCCCAGTAAATATGTAAAGGGTGTTTGGACATAATCTTTTTTGAGCAGAATGGCCTCTCAGTGTAGGTGTACACTGGCAGTGGAAACTCATGGGCAGGTAAACTGTCCTCCTTCCTGTGTCCTTTTATAATCTGTCTTTTCCGTTAGCAAGATTTTCATTGTTGTGCATACATATAGTTCATTTATCAAAAAAGGGCTGGGGCTGTAGCTCAGTGGTAGAGCACCCGCCTTACACCTCTGAGGCGCTGGGCTCTATCCTCAGTACCACACAAAAAAATAAATAAATAAAGATATTGTATCTATCTAAACAACAACAACAAAAAATTACTCAGATCATCTTACATTTAAAAAAAAAAAAGCATCTAAAAAAAAGATGGATTTGGGCCATAATACTGAAAGACCCAATTCTCAAATGCCATAATCCCAGATGTTGGAAAAATCCCAAAAATATCATTCTGGAAAAAATTTTGAAAAAATTTTTAAGACATTTATACTTTTAAACAGGCTTTATTTGATACAGCCTTATTTTTACACAGTAAAATAGGCAACAGTAACATTTTTGTAAGCATCAACTCTCAGGATTAATAACAGTCACTGCAAAAGCAGTTATGAGCATATGAACTATGTTCACAAATGGACCAAAAAGGGAAATATACAAATGCATATTGCTGTAGTTGGAAATGTGTGCACCCAGCTTATTAAAACTGAAGACATCTCAACTTTAGTGATAGATAACCTAAATCTTGTGATAAGACCAGTCAAAAACCACAGTGGGTCATCTTCACATGTGCAGTTGCCCTAAGAGCCAAATAAGAAACTTGATTTTCACAAATGCAGCTATAGGGAAAGGATCTTCCCTTCCACTCAAACACTCATCTCCTCTGGAAACACCCTCCTCTGTGCATCCAGAGTAATGCTTTACTAGGTTCTAGGTTTTCATTCCACCCAACTTGATACAACTTTCCTGCATACAATCAAGATGCATCAATCTCTTCCCCAGAATTCATCTTTCTAACCTCTTCCAAAGCCTTTTTTTTTTTCTTTTCTTCAGTGGGTCTTAAGTGTTCTGGATTTCAACATTCAAAATTTTTAATCTCTGGGCATTGTGAATTTGGGAAGTTTAGGGATTTTAATCTTCAGAGATTATAGCACTTGGTATTGTATCTTTCCAGAATTACAATCAGTACCAATGAAAAATACACAGTGAAAAAAAGTCTGTCCACTTCACTTGTTCTCATGCCCCCAAAAGACAATATTATATCTTGCTCATTCTTCAGAAATTTTATTCATACAAGGATAATTATTTATTCTTTGTGTTCCTCATTTATAAAAATGCCAGTATGCCATGTACATTGACTACATTTGCTTTTTTTATTAATATATCCAGAAGATGTGTCTGTAGTAATATATACAGAGCTCCTAGCTGTTTTCTCCAGGCCCCCCCATAATATTTTATTGCAGAGATATGCCATAATTTAAGAATTCTGTTTTAATGGACATGTAAATTTTCAGACTGTTGTAATTAAACATTGATCCATTTGGGATTGATTCGGTATATGAGATGATGAATGGTTCAAAATTAATTTTTTTCCAAATGCCTACACAATTGCCCATTAATTGTTGATTTGTTGAATAGTTCACTTCTGGACTTGGTATCTGTTATAGTGCCCTATCTTTTCATGCTCCAGTTGCTGTTTTTTTCTAAATCTGGAGATATAAAATACAAAATCTTGTAAGGGGTAGTGTTTCACACTTTGTTTGGATCATTAGAAATCTTATAGCTGATACTTCAGACCACATTAACCAACAGTACAATGCCTCGTGGCATGCATTTCCTGTGGGCTAATTTTTTTCCCCTTAGAAATCCATGAGTCCACACTGATATTTTTTAAATAAATAAATGAGAAGCTTTTCCTTAAGATAGAACGCATTAATAAATTTAGAATAATGGAATTATAAAATCACAATTTTGCAATCGTCAGACAAGAAATATCAGTGTTTGCCAAATCTAGTGGGTAAAAGTTGGACAAGGAATGAGATAATTTACATAGGTTCAAAGCATCTCCCATGAAATTCTTATTTAACAAATGAGAACTTTACAAAAAAGAAATCTGATAGATACCTACCTTATTCAAGTAGTTAACTGGCATGTGAGAGAAGTAGCCATACCCCATTAGTGTCAAATCCTCCAGTTTGTCAACTCAGAAATTTTTAAGTGACATGTTGGTAATAATCCACCTATTACATGGGGTTTGTTGGGAGAAACTTACGGAAAGTGATGCAATGCATACTGTCCCCTGAACTTTCATTACCCAGCATAGGCTGAGTATAGATGTGTGTGCATCATGGCCACAGTTCCAGCAGAAATAGGGTTTGCCTCAGCCAGCAGCCAGATGCAACAGACAGTCACAACCCAGGAGAGAATGTGAGCCCTACTCCTACCATATTGTGTTACATAATTATATGTTAACCTAAGTAAGGTTTAAGGAATTCCTAGTTTCTCTAAGTAACAAGAAATGTGTCAAGGGAAATCATATGTACCATAGTAGTTCTAGAAACTAGGCATACTAAGGGCCAAGATCTTCCCACAGAGAGCCCTGGGAAGAGCCTTGCCCACCAACAAGGTCTTGTCCCTCCACAGACCTGATTGGTCCAATTGGTCCAGTTTCAGCCAGACTCAGTTCTGCTACCAAAGATGGAAGGATATGGGCCTCCAGGATCTTCCTGATATGTCTACTGTCATTAATGTCACCAGTGATGGAACAAATCATCATGAGCATCATCACGTCTGTAGTATTTCTGCCAAAAATGAATATTCTGGATATTACCACATGGAAACGCAAGAAAGACCCAAATTGCAGAATAGTTGTTTGGGTTTTTTTTAAGGACTATAATTGCCAGTGTTTTAAGATAAGATCTAAACTGAATGAAAGACTGAAGATTCATAACAACCAAGTGAAATGTGTTACTCCTGGCTCAGGTCTTTCTGCCCTAAATAGTAGTATGATATAGATAGCAAAAATGAATGGGCTTTCTAGGTGATGGGCATGGGGGAGTTCTTTACACTTTCTTGCCACTTCTGTGTTTGGAATTATTTTCAAATAAAACATGAAAATTAGAAGCCAACCTGTAGAAAAGACTCAATTTTCTATAAAAGAGCTGATAAAACTAATATACAGATTTACCAAGATCACTGTGTGCAAGATCAGCATTCAAAAATCACATACATTTCTATATTCTAGCAATAAATAATAAAAAATTAAAATTTTAAAATCATTTACAATGGCATCTGTGATATGTGAAATATATATTTGGTTTTCATTTCCATTTCCTGGCATATACCTCCTAAAATCCTTGGAATCATCAAAATAGTGTCTTTTATGTGCCATTGAGTTGACGGGTGGCTGGCATACCCTAGCTTGTAGCACAGACACTGGTCACCAGAAAAACCAAAGCAGGTTTAGAGGATTGGGACTTTCAGCCCTACCTGCCAGTCTCCATGGAGAAGAGAGGGACTAAAACTTAAGTTGATCACCAATGACCAATGATTTTATCAATTATGCCTATGTAATGAAGCCTCCTTGAAAAGTCAAAAGACCAGACTTTGAAGAGCTTTTGGATAACTGAGCAC